CACAAAAATAATAATCATACTTAAATCTTTATTAGGTTAAAATTTTATTTATTTGTAAATAAATACATGCATCTCATAGTTCTTTGATTTTCCTTAATTTGTTATAATTTTACATTGAATTGCGACAGTTCGATTTGGTTGTAACGCATAATATTTGGACATTATTATTCTTATGAGACTCATCCCCATTTGTAAATAATTGTACCCCCATCCCCAGATACTTTTTTTGTAATAACTTAGACTTTAAATTCCTGCAATTTATTGCTTTCAATATACTGTATAGTAATTAGGGTTTGTATGGCAAGATCCAAAATCAATCGCTAGATGACCTAATCCAAGAATAAATGCATGAAAATCAATACACAATTCACACTTGCACCTCTAGGGCAACCTCGCTTGTTGCCTCGGAAAATGCAAATCATGTCCCTCGAATATGAGACACTCTAGCAAATGCCCCTTCGATAAATAAGATCGTAGTCTCTCGATGACCCTCGATGTTGCCTTTGATAAAACGATCTCGTCCCTTACAAAATTGCTAGAGCGTCTCACAGGTTGCTTTCGATGATTGTATACGATGACCCACGCATGTCCCATTTAACATCCTAACACAAGGTTGTTCACCAAACACAATGGTGAAATAACACTGTCAAAAGGATTGAAAACATAAGAAAGATATTTGAGTAAAATAGGGTAGACAACTCTTAGTTACTTGATCAAAAGCTTGCAAAACATCCTTACCATTTTCAAACACACCTCACCACACAATTTCAAAAACAACTTTCAAAACATTGAAATATCTTTTCAAAAAGATACACACCTTTGTATATATTCGAACAAGAATCACTACAAAGGTTGCCTAGACAAGGCTTCTTTTTCAAAGCATTTTCAAAAACCACACACAAAGCACCATTTCAAACAATTGAAAAGCGAAGGCAAGTGATCTAAACAAGTAACTAAGAGCCCATGGATAACCATGGATGAAAAGGGTGCTAGCATCTTCCCTTTTCATAACCTACCCCCCGAACTCGAGAAAACATCTCAAAGGTCTTTCCTGTGCTTTTTGACCTTTCCTTAAGATAAAATAAAAAGTCGGTGGCGACTCTTGCTAAACCGCACAAGTGCGAACACAAACGCAAAACCTCAAGGCAGTTCTCCCACCGTATCACACATATCATCTAGCTGCTTGCAACATTAATTTCCCTTTTGTCTAAGTCCTTCAATTTCCTTCAGTTTATGCCCCATACAACAGACCACTGCGGTCTTGCCCCAACTTGACTCTGCTAACCTTTATTTACAAAAAAAACATTAATAATAAAAGGGAGCACATATTATGCTCCAATCTAATCTAATAAAAACAACTAAAATGCAGAAAATTACAACTATTAAGCAAATAAAAAGAGTAATTAACCAAATCTAAAGACATGTATTAACTCATAAAATATGGGTTAACATGGTAGAATAGATGTAACATGCCCTTTTGAAAAAGTTTTAAAGAGAAAAGTCAAGAGGCAAAAAGGATTTGAATTTGTTTGAAGTGTTTTGTAAGGAGATCCTTCAAGTGGTCTCTAGGGGTACTTGAATCCATCTCCTTTAGTTTTGAAAATGTTTGAGATACGTATTATACTAAAGTCTATGACACAAGAGACTTAGAATGATCGAGTCAAGCACCTCGGATTCGAAGTACTCTACATGTACTTAAAGTTCATGGTGTATTATATGTATCGTATTTATTAGTGTTTTGAATTTGATAAAGAAAAATATATTTTTGTTTTAATAAAAGAAAAGGATGTTATGCAAAAGGAAAAACAAAGGGATCTCAATCCTAATTGTTTTCATGCATCAATGGACTTAAAGTTGAGATCAAGAGAAATTCTACTTAATGTGATCATGCTTGGATTAAAGGCCTAAGGTCTAACTAATTCAATTTAACCAAGATATTAAAATTGACTTAATAATCTTAAGGGAACATGTGAGCATACACGCAATCAAACAATTAATCAAGAGAGGCAAGGATCAAACAATTAGTCAAGGCAAAGCATCATGAAAAATTAAACTCAAAATTCAACAAGGCAATCAAGCACCATGGTATCATCGTCAATTAAAAGATAAAATAAATAAAATTCAAGAATATTAAAAGAAAAATGGAAAATAAAAGCAAAAAGATGAAAGCAGGAGGAGGTGGCGCTGGCAAGGAGGTATGGATCAGCTATGTTAGGCGCAACCTAATAGAAAGAGGAGTCCACAAGCATTTTTTGTTCCAAGCTACAGGTTTCCAAAAATCATGTGATATAGGCCAAGGGAAGGGTTCAAGTAACGAAGCCCAACAAATTCACACTTAGTCCAATTTACAACCACATCCATTCACCATCAAAATATATTTTTCAGCACATCATTTCAATTTAAAATAAATAAATAAATAAAAGGAAAAGAAAATATAGAAAATAATGGAAACTCGGTCGTTTTTGCTTGTTAGGGTTAAAGTGACTATTGAGCTTATCTATTATAAATATATAAAAATCATAGTCCCTGGAAATTACCACAACACCACAGCTGAAAAATTCTATTGTTTGTCTATTGTATTGGGGTAAAATTGGAAACTCCAAAATATCTTGCACCACATTGATTTGAATCTGATGTGGCACTCCCACAATTTTTCACCATATTTTCAATTTTTTTTAAACACTACTCTCACTATATTGTTTTGGCATTAATTGCATCTCATGTGTCATCACAATAAAATTTGATACAATTTTTCATTTATTTTGTTACCACTAAATCATGATTCAATTTGTTACAATTTTTCTTTTCTTTTTTTCATTTCACTAACAAAGTAACTAATGCAAAATTTGAATTCTCTAAACCTAATCAACAAGAATTAAATACACGTACATGCATAGATGTAGAATATGAAGAGTCTCTTTTCAAATAACCACCAGGTCCAACTTCCAATAAACCCTTTAGTGTTTCCAGTTACCAATTGTTCTATTACATAAACCCAATTTTAATTTCTTCCAATTTATCAGTAGTGCTCTGATTTAAAAAGAATAGAGGAAATGTAGAAGTCTCGGGAGAGTCTATGCTCTACGATTTCAACCTCCAACCATCTTCTTCAATTTGCTAATGACCATCATATGTCTCTCAATCAACCACTATCTCCTTTCAAGCTTCGGCCACCACAAAAGAGGTTTAGGGTTTAGTTTGGGTTTGTTTTTGCTGGTGGTTAAGGGCGGAGTATTAGAGGTTGGTGAATTGGATGCAGATGACCTCGATCTACGAAATGGAGCAATGGAAAAACCTAATTTTCCTCTTATGCCAATCAATTTTATTTTCTGCATTATCAGTTCTCTATTTGGTTTACTTCGATTCAATTTGCGGTTTCATCGAGAGAGTAATCTCTGGTACAGCCGTAGCCAGATTTGTCTCAAGAGTTAGGATGATACAGGTGAATTGATAGGACCCGAGCTCTTCCGTGCAATCAAACACTCTCAGATTTTCATTATGGTATTCTCTAAGAATGTAATAAAGTTCAACGATGGAGGGAAGCTCTCAGACAAGAAGCTGATATCTCACGACGGGATCTACGTGATAAGTAAGTCTTTCCCACTTCAAACTACAGTTTACTAAAACATTCTTCAACATATACAAATTTATGGTTAACTCTTTTAAATTCCATGCCAGATTGTTGCATAAATAAAATAGATACAAAGATAAGCAATCAGATTTGTTTTCTGATATATTTTATATATCTTGATTCTTTTTCATCCTTCAAAATGATCTGATTGAGAAGATTGTTAAATCTACTTGATTTGGGTTCAAAGGATCCAAAAGATGTTGTTGGGATGGATTCTCATATTGAATAACTAGAAAAGTGTTTACTTTTGGACAAAAATATGTGCAATGTAAATCTGCACTTGAATATAAATCTGCTTCCAATATATGAACCTGATCTCATTCTGATGGTTTTTTAATATCATTTGTCACTGAGTTTGAAATAAAATTGCATAATTAAAGATGTAAATATCTTTCACTTTAATATTTTAGAATGGCCTGAGATGAAGGGAAAAACTGCTGACCAGTTTTCATACATAGCAGATGATACAGATGAAGATAATGACTCCTCTGAGCAGGATCCTTCTATCGAGGTTCCAACTGAGCAGCTTATTTCAGATGAGGAAGTACCAACAAGTGATATCACCGATAGTGTTATTGGTGAAGGGTGTGTAATTAAGGCAAGCTTTTTCAGAACTTTCATATGTTTTCTTAAAAAGTTTGTACATTTCCTTGCAAAGATCTTAAAGAATGTGACAAGTAAAATAACAATATTTTCAATTTTTTGTTCCACAGAACTGCAAAATTCACCATTCTGTTGTTGGACTGCGTTCTTGCATATCAGAAGGTGCAATCATTGAGGACACTTTGTTAATGGGAGCAGATTATTATGAGGTAACATTGCTAAATACCCATTGCAGAATTAAGTTTATATGAATCAACTTTAGCTTGAGAAGAAGTACTAACTTTAGTATTGGTCTTGTGATTATTGTTGCTGTAGACGGATGCTGATAGGAGGTTTTTGGCTGCTAAAGGCGGTGTTCCAATTGGTATTGGGAAGAATTCTCATATCAGAAGGGCAATCATTAACAAGAATGCTAGAATTGGTGACGACGTCAAGGTTATTTCATGCATTCTTCCTTATCTTGCCCTCACATGCTTTCTTCCCTATTGTGTTGCTTTCAAATCAATGTAATACGTGTTTTGTTTTTCTACTGGATATCTTACATCCGGTTTCAACAGATCATTAACAGTGACAATGTACAAGAAGCTGCAAGGGAAACCGAAGGTTATTTCATAAAAAGTGGTATTGTCACAGTAATCAAGGATGCATTAATTCCAAGTGGTACTGTCATCTAAGAGCACTCTCTACTACTTTTGCCTCATCCTGCCGTGCATTGCAAGACCCCATTTTCACTGCGGGAAGGCCGCAAAAGAGCAGTTCCACTTCCATGTTGGGTTTCTGGTGCAATGTTTTGTTTGATTTGCCAGTATATAGAGTAGAGGACCCTTTCTGTAGCCGTGATGTAAATTTAATTTAATTCAGTCAAATAAATGCTTCTTTAGTTTGCAGTGTCTGATGCATGTTCTTTTACAGTAGGGGTGGAATAATATCCACTAAAAACAGTGAAAAGAAATACAATAAAAGCCAGACACTAGCTTCTATTGATGCAATTTGCTTCTTCTGTCTCTTGAGATTTTTTTCTTCTTCTTTCAATTTCAATAATTTTGAGATTAATTTTAATTCAAATAATAGATACAATGCAGAAGTTGGAAAGGCAAATGATATTCAAATTTAAATGCATCCTTAAAATTTGTCTTCCATCAATGGACTTTCATTCTGTATTAAGAAAATACTCTCTTTAAAAGAATTGCTCTATATTATCATTAAAATTAATCCATTCTGCAAACAAGAAATCCCTCTTTGTTATTCTCTCAATGTATCACAAAATCACTGAACCCATTCCATAACAACAACAACAAAGTCATAATGATGGCTGCGTTGATTCAAACAACAAGGGCGAGGCCTCTGGTGCCGCCGCCGTTGCAAATGATGATTACACTGGAACCGACAACAGCGATGGTTTGGATATAGTTTTGAACGACGATGTTCATGGTGAAGGTTTGGACAACAACAATAAAGAGTGCTTTGAGCAGTCGAAGGTTGGCTCAGACTTTGTTACCGATAAGTGTACAAATCTCTTTTCTGTTAAATCACAACTTAGAATTTTACTCTAAACCTCAATGAACTTTAAGTGTTCGATGAAATGTCTATGATGACGGTGGGGTTTTCAAATTTCCAGGAAATGAAGAAAGGAGTGCACCACAAAAGAAATGGACTTCATTTTTTGAGCTGTTAACAACACAAAAGTGAAAAGGGTAACTTAAACCAAAACAAACTTATTGATTGTTTTTAGTGAACTTTAACAGCAGCTGAGTCACTAATTTATTCACCTTTTCTCCTTTGTTCTGTTTTAGGTATTGTTGATGTCACTCAAAGTTGGTGGTTTAGACAAGAGAATTAGTTTTAACTCTCTTTGATTTTGTTTATACTTGATCTGATGCAAACATCACATGAATTTAAGAATGACTATTCATTTATAAAAATATAACCAAGGTGTTTGTCTACAAAAATTAAAGTGAAAAAGAAAGTGAGAAATAAATATTATTTTTTTGGATAGCTTATACATGAATAATGTTAATGATTTATGCAAATTATTATAAAATTAGCAAGTTGTTGCCTTTAGATTCAGAAGTTAGTAACTTTAATCTTTTCTTCTTCTGAGTGTTAATAGTGAGTAGTGATTCTTTGTTTGACTTCTGAGAAAGTTGAAGATCGAAAAGAGAGCAATATACAAAGATTGAAGTGAACTATAATTACACTTCACTGAGGTTAGTACAGTTACTTCAATCAACAAAAATGTTTAAGAAACATTAATATTTTAAACTTCAATTGTTTCTTTTGTGTTCCGTTTTTTTTTCTTTCTTAAATACTTGATCTGCAATACATCAACTTTCTATCAATTAACTGAATTAGGTGTGATTGAAGTTCATTTTCGGAAAAAAAATGACGATTGAAGTGATTTTGGGGTTATCTTAGTTTTCACAAGTTAACATGTTTCTATATTTTCATGAGTTGTGTCATATGGAAACATGAGATTCTTTGTCTGTTGGCAGCACTTGGTGTTAATTATTTATTGTTTCAGTCAATTTTGGTTCCATATGGAAATGAAAGTGCTCCTTGGTCTTCTGATTTTTCTGATTTCAATTCTATGATGAAGAATGTGAATATTCCCATTATTGAAGATGAAGGATTGCACATCAACTCAAAGAGTAGTTTAGTCTTTGATGGTGTTTCTAAAATTGGGTAGATAGAAATGATTTTCACAATGTTGGTAAAAACAACAGCTTAGAGTTGGATAATGTCGGTTCCAAGAAAAGTTTTATGGATATTTTGGCCAAGGAGAGTAAGGTGGACTTTCCGGTGAAGCGATTTTTCACGCTAATTGGATTTCAAATTTCAAATTTTAAATACTTCAAAGAAACTCAATGGCCATATGGTCACCTTGAGAAATGAAAAGCCATTTCATGTGAGGCATTATATCTTTCTTGGCTCAATGCATACTCCCACTTTATCTCTCTCATTGCCAAAATAACCGATTAATTATATATTAATCTTCTTGCATATCAATTCTCTTCACAAAACTTCATTTTGCACTGCAGGGTCAATTTGATCATTATTAGGCGATATGCCCCTATATATACTATGGGTTAACATAAAAGACCAAGCAGTCTATATGTTTCTCTTGCAGGGGTTGATGGACGAGTTTTGGGTGGTTAGCATATTTGCATTTTCCGTTGCAGATCAAATATTTGAATTCATATGTTGCTTTGAAGAAACAGTAAGTGAGAACATATTTTTGCTTCCTTAGAATGTATCATTCTATTATTTCTTGAGTGTAAAGCGTAGCTTGATAACATCAACAAATATGTGCATGTGTATTACTGCAATGTAGACATGCTTCAAATATTTGAGAAAATTATCATGATACATTATTTTGAGAAGCTATCCACCCCTTCTGTCATGCTACTGTTAGGAATATTTTATCATCTTTTGACTTTGTATTTGTTTTAGGATAAGCTTGCTCTAAGGCTCAAGAGCTTTTGAAAGAGTTTGACAATGTATGCACACTCAGAGTTTGGATGCCGATTTCATTTAAAAATTCTGATTATCATGTCATTTTCCTTCAGGTTTAACAATTTCTATCACGAGGGCTGACCGGTCTATTCTTCAACGATTAGACGCTGAGATGAAAGCTCCTTATTTGCATGTTCGAGTTTGTGGTCAGTAATTTATTGTAATTGGTGTACGTGATTCTCTTATTATATACACATATTCACGAGCAATTGTGCTATGATTTTGAGTTTTGTTTTTTGTTTTTTAATTCAGGTGCTTGACATTATAATCTCTTTCATGAGAATGCTTCTTGCAAGTACTATTTGTTTGATAATTTAGGGTAATTAAATCCTAAGCATCACGAAAAAGAATCTTTCACCAGATTTAAAGATGTACTTCACCGTAGATTTCTAAGATAATGTATCATTATCAATTAATTGCAATGTTGTTATTCTTAGTTGTGGCAGGAGTGTTGAACTAACACTTTGGGTGAATTCTGCAACAGGGAATAACAAGTTTCATGAGTAGGTAGATGCCTGGAGGATCACTTTTTTAATGTTGACCACTTTTTTAATGTTGTCAAATAAGTTTGATACATTGAATTTGGCCGAATTAGATGAATTTTTATTGAATTACATAAAAACGAATTTACTGTTACATGACAACATTAGTTCCATGTTTTATGAATTCTCGACCGGCCCCGTGCAACAGCACGGGTTATCGACTAGTTTTGAAAGCAAAATCTCTTCCCTCTCTTCCTTCAGCGGCCACTTTCATCATCTTCACCTTCTTCGCTTCTCTGACGAAGCCAACGCCACCGCTCGCCGTAGCTTCGAAGGAGATAAACAGAAACCATAGGTGAGGTAATACGCTTCCTTATCGCTCTTTTTTATCCTTCTGCGGTTTGTTTTTCTTCTACTACGATTCACACTTCTTCTTCATCTTCTTTTGTGTTTTTGTGAATTGTTGTTGAGTTCTTGTGCGTGATGCGTTGTGGTGTTGTTGTTCTGTAGTTGCGATTGCAAAATTACAACGGTGTTATGGATGATGCGGTGGTAGTAGATGCAAATAAGAGTGAAGCAATGAAGTGATATGTTTTTGAAGTTGCTGTAGATGAAGCCAGTGAAGATACATGTTAAAGGTTGATGATGAAGTGCGATGAAGTGATTTTTGCAGAGAGTTTGATGTTATGAGTTTTTGTGATTTTGCAGAATGAATGGTGGTGATTGAGAAATTGGAAGGAAGCTGACTTATATAGTTGAAGGTGAATTCATCTGAGCCATTGGATCTGTGAGAAATAGTTGGAGATCTAAAGGTATGAATCAATCTGACTCTGGTAGTTACTCAGTCTAACTCAGTTAGCTAAACTAAGTTTGGAGGCCTTGTATCACCTTTGTTGAGCTGTCCAATTGAAGCTTGAATCTAATTCCTCTGTTTTTTTTTTGTTTTCTGATTTTATTCTATTAGTTTCTATTGCTTCTCTTTTTGTATTCTTTCCAATTCATTTGGATGAACTGGTGCACTGATGTTAATAAGTTGTTAACTTTTTGTTTCTGTATAATAAATTATGAACTGGTTTTTTATGAATTGATGTAGGGCTCGTCATTATGATGTGATGAACTGGTTTGAATTTTTTCAAGGTTGGTGTGTTGTGGGTTTCTCTTGAAACTGGCACTAATGCAGATTGGTTACTTGTTCTTGTTTTACAGTATGCAGGGTTGTCCTAATTTGTGAGCATAGTTTGAATCAAGCCAAAGATAAGAGAATGGCATGAAAGGCTTGAGCATGGACAGGGGATGAAGATTTTTGAAGAAACAATTATGGGGCCATTAATATTGAAAGCCTTGAAGGTGAGACATGAAGCTTGGTGAAGTTGAAGGTTTCTTGGAGCGTGAAGGAAATGAGCAATGGCATGAAGTTATCTTGAAACATGAAGATTTAGGATAGGGTTTTTTAATGACTGTTGATGTAAGATCTTGTAATTGCAAGAGTAGTTGTAATTCTTCTTGTGCACTTTGTAATGAGTTTTGAAATCAATAATGCTTCACATATTTCAAATCTTTTCTCAAATTGCATATTTTCTTTTTGGTTTTTACATTGTATTCAAAATACTCACAGGGTTCCTTCTTGTCAAATTTATCTTATTTTATTTTGTGTTTTGAGGTGGGATGGATGATCATGTAATGACTTTTGTGAATGTAAACAAAAAACCCTCCAATATTTCCTTCTAATTTTGAAAGGATGTTTTGATGGCATAATGAGGTAATGACATGTCAGATCATGATGCTTTGATCTTTTAAGAGAACTTTGCTTTGTGATTCAAGTAACACTTTTCTAAAATAATTCCTCAATGCCTTTTATCTTACCTTACATTTGAATCAAGTCTCAAGCTTGTATTAAAACCCTAGTTGAATGAATTAGCATAGGAGGAGGTGACTTCTAATGCAAGCAATAATAAGCATCATATGTGTCGAAGGAAGCCAAAGAAAACCAAGGATAAGAGCTTTAGGAGACATGTACCCAAGCCCTGAGCCTTCATCGGATGACTTTGAGTATAAGGAAAAAACCCAAATCAATTCCCTTGTATCTTCAATTGAAACAAACCCTATAAAAGAATGAAACCCTAATACATAAGTGAAGCCTTAGTCTCCTTTACCTTTGATCCCAAATGCCAAACCTTGTTGATAGTGAATGCATGCAATGTTAGGTGACCTAATTGAGGGTATGTACATGATAATTATGAGATGCATAAGCCAGATAATTTGATAAAGGGTAGGACAAATTTGGGGTATCATAGCTGCCCCTATTTAATCATCTTTAACCTGAAGGTGAGATTGACGCTAGCCTTTCGAACATTCAAGGTGGAAGAAGATTAAATACAAAAACCTGAAATTTGTTCTGAAAAGAAAGTTTAGTTGTTTTGATATCTGTTGGGGAAGGAAAATTTTGTGTTTTGCTGAAAAGGTTTGCAACAAGTAGGTGTGCTTAGGTGGTGATAACTTGTAACGTGATAATAGTGTCAATACAAGGTCTCAAAGGAAATGATTGTTACATAAAACAATGGTTGAAGGAATAGGTCTGAAAAGTGAAGACAAAGGGTAATATCTACAGAAAATCTAAGATCCCAAAAAAGATGAAAAGAAGGGTAAGATATTCAGACGATCTCTGATCCCATAAAAGACAAAAAAGGGTAAGATATACGAACGATCTCCGATCCTAGAAAAGACGAAAAGAGAGTAAGATCTATGAACGATCTCTAATCCTAGAAAATATGAAAATAAGGTAAGATATACAGACGATATTCAATCCCAAGAAAAAGGAAAAGATGGTAAGATCTATGGGCAATCTCCGATCCCAAGAAAAGACGAAAAGAGGGTAATATCTACAGACGATTTGCAATCCTAGAAAAGATGAAAAGAGGGTAAGATCTACAGACGATCTCCGATCCCAAGATAAAAGGAAAAGAGGGTAAGATCTATGAACGATCTCTGATCTTAGAAAAGACAAAAAGAGGGTAAGATCTACAGATGATATCCGATCCCAATAAAAAAGAAAAGGGGGGGGGGGGTAAGATCTACGGACGATCTTCGATCCCAGAAAAGAAGAAAATAGGTTAAGATCTACGAACAATCTCTATTCCCAGAAAATACGAAAAGAAGTGTAAGATCTACGAATGATCTTCGATCCCAGCAAAGACGAAAATATGGTAAGATATACGGACCATATCTGATCCCAGAAAAGACGAAAAGAGGGTAAGATCTACGAACAATCTCCGATTTCATAAAAGATGAAAATAGGGTAAGATCTATGGGCGATCTCCAATCCCAAGAAAATGAAAAAAAGGGTAAGACCTACGGATGATCTTCGATCCTAGAAAACATGAAAATAGGGTAAGATCTACGAACGATCTCTGATCCCAAAAAAGGCAAAAATATGGTTAGATCTACGGACGATCTTCGATCCCAGAAAAGACAAAAAGAGAGTAAGATCTACATAAAATCTTTGATCCTAGAAAAGACAAAAATATGGTAATATCTACAGACGACCTCTGGTCCCAGAAAAGTAGAAAAGATTAATAGAGGGTATCGACTTTGTTGGGGTTAAGAGTGCAATGTACTTGCACCATGGCCAGATAAAGCTTCACAATTATAGATATCAACTGGGTCTGTGGGGATAACATTCTCTGTGGGGATG